TGGGTGGGAGGGAGGGAGGGAGCAAGCCAATATTATATTTGTGGTAAAGGCCCATGCAGCTGACAAGTCCAAAGAAGCAAGAACAACATGGATTTCAGGAAGGCATTTTTAATGCTAGTCTAGGGTAGACACAAAATCTTGGAAACTTCAGAGGAATTTCCCAGCCTCTGTTGTAGTGAGTTAATGAATGTGGAGTCTCTTTGACACACTTTCTCCCAGACCTCTTACCATGTGCAGTTGAGTTGCTGTTCCTGAGAAAACCTTTCAACTCACTCACCCATAGCTTCCCCATAACCTCTTATAGCAAGAAAGCAACATACAAAAAATAAAATTGGTTTTATGCATTGTAGAAGAAAATGGGGAAAAGCCAAAAAAGTGAATGGGGCTATTTGTATCTCACCTGTGATCAGATCCTCCAAGGTTAACTTGAAGTCATGGATCTGAAAAAGGGGATAAATGTGCTGTGCTGGTCCTCATTTTGTTATTGTAGAGGAAATGGGGAAAGATGTGACATATATTATTCATACATCTGGTTTCCAAGATTCCCTGAAAAACAGGTAACATGTTTTTGCCTAGATATTTAGCTAGGTGCCACTGAGTCAGTTCCAACTGACACCAACACTTGCCATCCTGACCTTAGTTTGGGATCACTGCTCCATCCTTTAGAGATGAGCTACAACCGAAGGCTCCAAGGTTATATTTGTCAAGTGTTAGTGCTACAACTGAGTTGTACATCAAGGACATACTGTGAAATTACTTGGTGAAAGTGAATAGGGTAGTTTCGGTTTCCCATTACACAGTTCAATTGTTCAAACTCAAAAGTGCTCACAAGTATTTTGTTACCTTACATACCATTATTATATGCTGTCAAGCTATTATGCTGTCAATATGAATACATTAAGGATATATAGTAAGGATACACAGGGCATTTAGGGGGAAAAAAACATGTAGTTCTGGACCATAACATTCTAGCATATGTACATCCATAAGTCCATTCTACCCCCTTTAAAAGATCATGAACATATGCCTTAATATTTAATTCTGTATTTTGGATAAAAGTATGCGTTCAGAAGAATGTTGTGTCTAAATATGAATGTCCACTGAATTTTATCTCATCGTTCCTTCATCATCCATATTTGTAGACCTGCAGAACATATTGTTCATCATTGACCTCCGGGCCAAAGTATATCGGGTTGTACTGATTGACCCCTTCATGATTATCAGGGTCTTTCATAAAGTCCCCAAGTAGCTAAATTCAAAGAATCACTTTACAATGATGATGAAGAAGAAGAGGGGGAGGAGGAGAAACTTAGAATCAGAGATCCCTGCATAGCATGAATCCAGAGACACTTTGAGAAAGATGGGGCATAGCAGACATTTCCTAAAAAAAAGTGCTGAACAGTTAGCAACAACACTATTTCCATTTGTCACTGAGTGCCCAGCCATAGCAGAGATGTGCTTTTAGTTCTGCTTAGTGAATATGACCTAATGAATCACTGTAGGTTGTTTCCCAGAGCCTAAGGAATCCAAGCCGAACCCCACTGATACAGTGACCTTGCAGACAAGAAGTGGCAATTCTAAAAACCTTATTTTCGGATCTTAAAAAGAACTTAGCAAAACTACTTAGCAATGTTATCTTCCCAGATCTCATCACTCTATTTCCCAATACTATTGGCATAGATACTGTATGACCACTGCTCCCTATACATGAAGAACAACGTCTACAATTTTTCACCCAAATCAGCAAATTTTCATACAATCTCATCATAAAGCTACCAAATTTCCCCACTATAAAACCTCCACCACCTCCTACCAAAATAAAATAAAATAAAATAAAACATAAAAATTCTGTGAATTGTTGACAAACTCAACTTATTCCAAGGAATTGTTTTGTTATAACAGGTACACTATGCTGCTGTTGTGAAAATGGTTCAGTCTAATGTTTCTAAAGATCTCTATGAATTATTGTGTCACACCCAGTTTTCCCAACATATGCTCTGAGTTCAAGGAAACAAGTTTCTGCTTAAGACTCAGGAGTTTTCTTCCTTAACACTCACTCCCGACTCCTCCACAAAATAGCCAAGATTGTAATACTATAATAAGTAAAATAGGCCAAGAAAATTAAGGTGAAACCTTTACTCAGTTATGAAGGTTAACAGCTGATTTTAAGCCAGCCATCATCTTCTGCAGCCCAGCCTGTAACTCAGAATAAAAGGGGGGGGGGATATCACCAATACCACTCTAAATTTCTTGGAGAAAGAACAAGATAACTTCTAGCCAGCAGATATTTTTCCTTTCTCCCCCCGCCCCAGGTTTTGCACATAAAAACCAATTCAAAACAAATAATTGTTCTGCAGCTCTGCCAGACTATTAAGAAAACCACCATACTGCATACAACTGGTTTCATTCTAATTGTAGACAGGAAGTACAGAATTAGTTGCCTGTAATGTCTTCCTTCCAAGCTATAAACTTTCTGGAAAGTAATTAACAATGAACAATGGAGAAGTTCTAAAAAGCTGTAAATTAATTATTCAATTATCTATTAGAAAACATGCTGACTAGACAACTAGACAAGTTGTTCTGTGAAAGCTTAAATAAAACATACATTATAATGATCTCAGAAGATGACAGAGATCAACAGTAAAAGCTGAAAGAAACTGATAAAATCAGTATTATATCATTAGATTAATATATAATCAAGATTAAGGATTAATAATACATTTTTTCGCAATATAGAAGCCTGAAACTTCAAAATGTATTTAGGTATGCCCTATAAAATGTGGTTCAGGTATAGAAAGATCTGCCAGATCTAATATAGATCTAATATTGAAGATTTAAAATAACCTGGAAGATAATGAACAAGTGCATGATTGGATATTACAAATATAAAGTTTAAAAATGATTTGATTGATAGAATTCAGTTCATTCTGCCCTATTATTTCTGTTTTGAGGTTTACATTATCACAGAGTAACTAATAATAAGTGACATCATCACATTACAGACCTTTGGAGAAAACATTTAACAACCAACATATAATTACATAGATCTGTTTAAAATACGTACCAGCAAATTTGCTCTTAAGGCAAAACTAAGATAAAGCAAAAGTAAAATATGCCACTGTTTCTACAGCTCATCTACAGTAATTCACTGTACTAAATTTTTAATTAAAAACAAAACAGACAACATATAGCCCAAATTTAGCATTTGAAACTGACTTCAGTTAGAAAATATAAAGACATATTTAAATCTCTTCTACTGAACCTCATTTAACTATTCCGTTTACACTACTGTCTTCTGGATGAGGCCACACATTTTCAAGTCTTATATCAGTTTATATGCATGAAGCAAGTTCCTTAAGAATCTTTTAAAATGTTGAAATAAATTGAAAGGAAGATTCCAATGTAAACACGTAGGATCAAGAAGAGAGTAGATTCACCTGGCAAGATTAAATGCATCTGGCAAGGTCCAAAAGTAAATATTGACTGGAATTATTTATTTCAGTGAGGAAAAATTAGACATACTTACCTCTCACAATGAACTAACTGGAATTAAAGTTTAGCTAGATGCTAAATATCTTAATATACTCAGAATGAAGAAAGTTTCATGTTAATTCATTTGATTTTTATTTTATCTTGTATCAATAAATCTACAGGTTTCAAAATATGAAATATAAAATACCTT